CCTCCTGGCCCGGCCAGCACTGGCCACTGGAAACCTGGACTTCCTCAAAGCCTGGTACAGTCCAAGATCCCTTCTCTCTTCCTGATAGGTCCCTAAATACTGGCAAGCTAGTCCCAAGCCAGACCCACCTCATCCCCCTAACAGCATTGTGCTAATTGCTCAAGCATCTGAGAATCCTCTACATGTCAGGTATCCAGGTTGTAGCTATATTGGTCTAGAAGCAAAGGTAGAGGTGATATCTTTTATTAGACCAACTAGATTTTTGCAAAAAAATGAATTATTTAATTGCAAGCCTTCAGGCACGAACACCCTTCATCAGGCATAGGAGAAAAGGTTGTAAAAGTTCTCCTGGGAGTACTAGTTACAGTTAGTTAAACATGATTATTGATTAGCAATTGATGCTCACCTGGCTATCATATGAGTATAAATCCAGCTGTCCAGATGGAAAGCCATTCGCCCAGTTTGTATAGTATACTCCAGTTCCATCAGTCCAAAGGAACCTGAGTTCATGGTTTATATCATTTAAACCAATCCATGTGTCAGTTACAGAATCCTTTAAATGAAAGATGAGGAAAGCTAAAAAAAAAAAAAAAAAGATGAAACATATTGTTGAACACAGCTGCTTCTCATCAATGAAGATGCTAACATATCTATGGGTGCAAACAAACATTGCCCTTGTACTGCCATAAAAGTTGTTATGCTGTGAGCAAAAAGATGTCCTAGCCCCTTGTCACACGTCAAGTGCCCAAAAATGATGCCAGGACCAAAGGTAGTCACAGTTTGTGATCCTTTGGAGGATGTCTGTTTGCTTATTATGTGCAATGGGAGTTCCCCTGCAGGGGAATCCATAGAGGTTCCCACTGCTTGCAAACACACATCTTGAGTCATTGTGTGGCACCTGGGGCTGTTATCCAGCAGAATCAAGTCCCGGGAGCAACAGAGGCCTGACCCCAAGGGAAAATGGCCTTGGGGACATCTTTAGACACCAGTGAAGTGGGTCAGCTGTGCAAGAACATATCCCAACATAGTTAATCCCAACATAGTTAATATCTGTTTCTAGCCTGTGAGACATGTGGGGATATATGGGATAGCCAGATTCCAAAATATTCTCAGTATATTGAGCACTGTTGAATTTCTAATATGATAATGCGTCACTTTTGTGAGTAAAAATTAAAGGAATGGATATTACTCAAACTTTAAGATAAAAAGAACAGAAGAAGACCTTAATTAAATTGTGAACAATATAGTAATACCTTTCAAAATAGTTTTTCATTTTAGTGAGTAGGGAAATAAACAATTTTTTACTTTGTTCAATATTGTTGCTGTGTTTCTAACATACTAAACATGTCACTGAAACTAGTCCCAGCCATTTTTTAATAGATAGTAACCAATGATTGTTGAGAAACTAACTTTTACCAACTTCTAGAGTTTCAGCAATGGGCTTCCTCTACCTGTAGACTTAACATCTATTTGCATTTCTCTCTGTTCCTAGCTCTTAGTCCTCCAATGTTTTCTTAAATGAACACAGCCCATGTCTTATCCTTTCAAAAATAAAACCTGTAGATTCTTTGCCAAATATGAACACAATTATCCTGCCAAGAACTGCTCAGGAAGTCAGCCCCTTTCCAGTGGACTTGCACTGTCGAAGTAATAGTGATCTTGCCCTATTGTCCATTTGTCTCTTACCTGGAATGAAACCCCATGCAGAAACTACTCGGAATTTGCATAAGGTGTTCACAATAGCAATTCAAACCATAGGTTTGCCTATAAAGCAAACTACATCTTGAATAAACAAACATTCACATTCTTGTTCCTGATCTTTGAGCATTTGGAAAATCATGTACTGTGATAAAATGAATGGCATTTTTTCTGAATTTACACTAGTGTAACTGACCAGAATATAAAAATAGTTCTTTCACTGTGACTGTTAATATTGTGATCATTTGAATTTACATCAGTAAGTTTAGTGCAGTGTCACTTTTTCATCGTTCCTGTCTCATTGTCCTACATGCTCCTCTATTTCTTTATCCACTTACAACGCTATTTTCCTACTCCATTTATCCACTAAATGAAAAATCCTCTAACTGCCATTTCCCCTGCCTCGTAAGATCATGGTATTACTTTGCTCTACAGCTGAGAGCTACTGCTAAAAAAAAAAGCATATAGTGCTCTTAGCATCTACAAGACAAGCTTTAAGTAGTTACATTGTTCTCATCTAAAACTTTTACTGTGCATTTATAATTTATTTGGTATATATTACATGAGGTTTTATCTAGTTGCAAAAGACCAATGCAAAAAAATGAAAGGACAGTACCTTGCACTTCTCCATGAGGTATGGTAGCCAGATTTCCTCCTAAATCCATGCAAGCTTTCCTCGCAGCATGCCAGCTTTTACGCTCATCTTCTTTAGAGCCAAACATTCTGTAACACTAAAATGAGAATAAATCTGAATATTTGACTTCATTACTCCCTAAAAATTGGAAGCCTTTCCTTTTGAATACACATGACCACCATGTAGCCTTGTGCAAGAAAAAAGAAAGGAAAATGTTTGGCATAGTCATAGAACAATTCAAATGTATTTTTCTACAGATTTGTTTAAAAGCCCTAGTTAGAATAGGCTTTTGAAGCTGGTACATTTGAGTCAGTGAAAAACCAGTATGTGGTAAGAGTATGTGTATATAATTTGCTTGCATGCAGTCCCATAATTGCAAGTTTCCAAATACACTTTGCATGCAAAAGAGGGTGGATTAATAAAAAGAGAGAGATACATATACTGACCTCCCTTTGTGAAAATCCCATCCAGTGATGTATTAGGAATAAGAAATATTAAAAAATTGAAATCTGCTTATTTTGTATTCAATTCTTCTGCCAAAAATACAGCATACACTAAGTATGTTACTGTACCTTATTCTTATACAAAAGCCAATTTTCTTGACATCCTGCCATAGGATAAAGTGTTGTTGGAGGAACAGTCACATTAATGGAACTGTTGTGTCTTTCACATACATAAGGATTTGGATATCCACAGTTTATATCATTCCAAAATCCTGAACACAAGGAAAATAAGTAACTGATAAGAATCACTTACGAAAACTTATTATATAGCCTATTTATTGAATGAAAAAAATTCACTGTTACATTAATTAGACTACTGTTACCTGAAATATATTTGTATTAAAAGTATAAAGGCCCTTTGCACACATTATATTTGTCATGCTACCTACACTTTTTTAGCACAACAAAAAAGTAAGCATTCACACATCCATGCTTTTCATCACACTAAAAAAATGCCTAGTCCATCACAAAAATGGAGGATCTGCAACAAAAGGTTGTTGTTTCAAACATCTCCATGAGAAATTTAGTGTGTGTGCAACCCCTTCAGGTCTCTCTGACCCTCAAGTATTCCTTAGTGCATTTCCAGAATAAAAAATGAATGTCTGTTCACTTGTTTATCAATCCAATCTACACAGTTTAGACTAACCTGAAACGATTGAATCAATTCAGACTTGGGCTTTTTGACTGTCTGAACTTAATCAGAGAGCTCTGCAGGTAGTGGCTTTACTGTCAACCTTGTCAGCTGTTGTTGCTGGTCAACAGAGGCTGAAGGGGCTGCCACCCAATTAGGCCTTGCCATGGACGGTGGCTTGCACCAGCAACAGCACAAGTTTGTCAATGAGACTAGGGTGGCCACCCATCTCTAACTGGGTGGGACAGTCCCAAAAATTTAAAGTCATCTCAGTCCCAGGCTAAATGATTCCAGAAAGCCATTTTTGTCCCAGTTTCCCCTGGACACAGTTAAATATCATCCTGGTATCATGTGTAGGGATCTGGGTTTTCCATTTGCTGTGGAAAAATGTGGGAAATGGTGAGTTTCCCCTTGCAGACTGGCATAGTTCCAGCCTGCAAGGGGCTGCTTGGGACTCAGGGCATTGGGACACAGGAAGCATCAACAATGCATGTGGTCAACAATACAGCTGTGGAGGGCATCTCCCCTAGCTGACTACAGGTAAGCCTATGGGGGGGAAGGAGGAGGGATGGGGGACAGGGGAGGCAGGCTGAGGCCCGCATGGTGAGGGAGTGAGGCAGGGTTGGTATCTGGTGCTGGGATCATTGCCAGCTAGGGCAGTGCATGAGGCCCAGGACCAGGGTGGGAATGTGCGATCAGGGGGCCTGGCTGGGGGAGCAGGACAGAGCCACAGGATGGCTGCTCACCACCTTGGAGGCTGGCTCCCCACTGCTGCATGCATTCCCAGGGAGAGGGGAATGGGGGGACACATGCCTCCCAAGATTTGTGCATGGGCCTCCCAAAATTTGTGCATGGGGCAAGAGTGGATGCAGACTGCCTGCTGCAGGCTCAAGGCACCCTGCCCTGCTGCCCTGCCTCCAGGTGGAACCCAGCACAGGAGGGCAGAGTGGGATGTGAAGGCTTGGTGCCACTGCTGCCAGGAGCCCTGTACCAGTTGCGCCACCATGGCAAGGGAACCCCTAACTGCCTAGCAGCACCAGGGGGGGTGGTGGTGTGGAGTTATGCCCCCTGCTGCTGCTAAGTGAGTAGCAGGCTCCTCACCACGGCAGTGTAGCCAGTGTGGGTCTTCTGGCAGGAAGAGCACTGAGCCTCTCTGCCCTCCCATGCCAGGTCCTGCCTGCTGGCCTGTGGAGACCCCCAAGGGAAGGGCAGCAGGACAGGGAGCTCTGAGCCCTGCAGAAGGCAGTCCACATCCTTCCCCGCCACTCCAAAGGCTGCACTCAGCCCCATCCAGCCATGCCATCTGCAGGAGGACAGGGGGAGGAGTGGGTATGTGTCCTGTTTTTCCATTTTCAAAAGTTGGTCACCCTAAGTGAGCCCATCTTGCTTGTCAACAGACTGCCCTGAGAGCAGGGAACTGAGGAGCAACCCCTTATAATCCGTTAGTTTGAGAGCATAGCTTTGTGGTAACTTAGATGTGTTCCAGCAGGGGGCTGGGCACATTTGCATATCCCTAAAACTATCTATTTTTGTAGTGCTATTAACTTTCTAAAGTTACAAAAATAATGTGCATCAAAGGCCTAAGTCTCCATTGATAGGCCCAATTTGGTGGCCAAACCTCTGAATCTAAATCAAATCAGAGGACCCTTTAATCTCTCTGAATCAAATCAGAACCCTCCAAATTGATTCAGAGAGATTTGGAAAGATTCGGACATAGACACAGTTTTAAATGTTTTTTCTACATACCACTAGGTAGCAAGCGGCTCATGAGTGCTGTGATGCTGGAGCGCTTGAAGCGTCCCACAAAAACACGGGGGTCTCCCCAGTGTGCTCAGTAGAAGACCCGGAAGTGGACCAGAAGCACTTCCGGTGCACTTCTGCATCTGCCGGGGAGCGTGCAGGGCCCCCCCCCACCGACACCTCCCCGGCTCAGTGATCTTAGGTTGGGGGGGGGGGGGGCCCCAGGGGCCCCTGTGGCCGACACCGGAGCCAGTTCTTTTGGG